AAAAAAAAAAAAAAGGAAATAGCATCATCAATACTTCTAATTGGTCATCAGTGTTCAAAATTGACAATGATAGTTGTAAAGCAGATGGAAATCAAGGGAAAAAAATTTGAAGGTTTTTGAGGGAATTTTAAGAAAAAAAATAAAGTTTACAAAGATCAAGTCTAAAATACCAGTTATTTTACTAGTCAAGATTCTTCTTTTTCCATAATATTCTCAATGCAGCTGTTTTAAATTCAATTCGATTTTTTTCTTTTTGCTAATTTTGCCATTTTTTTTTGGGGGGTATTTGATAGATAACAAGACTAGAAGGTTTAAGAAGTTCAAAACACATACATATATTAATTCGCCAGTGTAATTTTTGCTGATTAGATAATTGGATAGTCCAATTTTGCGCTGCTCATCTTCTCAGTTTTAAAGCCTTCATAGTATAGTGTATCAGCAAGGATTTATATGGAGGAGCTTGGTGCAGCATTGCTGCCTATATCGGCGGCATATATCCAACACAGGCAAACTGTTTTTGCGGGTCAATAATAATCAGGTTACAAGGAAGCCTCCAAAAGCATCAGTTGCATGACTGAACCACTGCTGGCATTGATCAAAAAATGCTGCTGTCATTTGGTACACAGCAGATTGGCAGCAGCAATACCAAGTCTGATTCTTGCACTATCAAGGGTCAAAATAAGACAAAATTTTACTGAATAAAAAGACATTATTAGCTTTTTTTTTTTGTTTGTTCAAATAAAATTAGAAGCAAAAGAAAAGTGAAAATAGAGAAACTTTTTTTTTGTTTTATATAATTTTTAGTAGCAAATCAAAGGTGAAAGAAAAAGTTCTGTCTATAAATTGTTTGAACTGAATAGAATGCAGTCTTTTCAATTTGGCTTTTGCTGTTGAATTTTGAAGTTTTTCTACTATTCAATTGTTCTTTTAACCATTGATAAAAAAATAAACTTTGTTTTTCTTTGCTTTCCTTTTCCATCCTTCTTTTGTCTGTTTTCTTCTTCCTTCCCAAAAAGTTTTTTCTTTATGACCAAAAGTTCTGCACATTCTTTCGACAGCAGTTTTATTGCCGTCAATCATTTTTCAATACTGCATTTTATCAACTTCAGTTTTTAGCTAATAAATCATTTAAATGTTCTTCCTACAGGAAGCTTAAGGCTAATTAAGTTTTAGTGACTAACTTATAATGTAAGTTGGTGTTGGTTCATTGTATGGTTTGGTGGCTTTCTACTGGTTGACGTAATTCGGTAAACCAACCAAACGAGTGCGAAAAAAAGTAGTCTCTTTTTTTATATTTCTACATTGATGTAGTCACGCATCTTTTCCTGTTTCATGCATTTTCTTTTTCTTTAAAAAATACTTTAAAACTAAATGTTGTTGTGCTTTGTGATTTACGAATATTTCAGTTAACATTCTTGTTGTTTTAAACGTAAAACAAAGGCAAAAAAAAAATTCATTTCTGTATTTGTAAGTGTTAAAGTAAAGCGAAGAAAAGAAGTATTTTGGTATGATAATTATATGTAACAATCAATCAAAATCCTCATCTTTGGCGACGTTCTTTGTTAATTTTTGAGCATTTAATACAGAATACCAAATGTTTTTCAGGATCTGTTAACATAGGTGAAAAAATTAACAGAGAAAGAACAATGTTATCGGCTAAATCGACAACAATGACAATGATTGGAGTGGAAATTGTTTTGGCCTGTACAGCATTTATTGCTTCATTTTCGATACTTTGTGCTCAGCTACAGTCAACATCTGCGTATAAGGATAAGCAAAAACCCAGGTTTATGCTAATAAATTTCTTCTTTTTTGTGCCAAAAAAATTGGGATTTTTATTATCATGAATCTACGGTGTAAAACTGCTATT